GAAGGTCAAAGCTCATGGGCTTATTGGGCTTGCGGGTTGAGGGGCTTAAGGATTTAGGGTCAAGGGGGTTTGGTTTTCGGGCTATTCGTCGGTTGACTGAGCTGGTTGGGGACAAGCCTAAAACAGCCAGCGCTTGCAAACGACTGCTGCGGGTATTATGGATAGGGTTTAAGGCTTAGCGGTTTGGTTGTTTAAGGGCTCAGGCTGTTTACAAGGGTATTGCAAGGGTTTAGGAAAATCTTTATGGGGTAGCGGTCCAGGGGATCAAGGCTTTCAGGGGTACCAGGATTGCGTGTTAAAGTACCAGTCTGCAGCTATATAGGGAATTGTCACGAAACTGTGTCGTCAATTCCAACCCTACCTGAAAAACGCATCGACAGTAGCCGACTCCCAGCAACCAAACGGAGAAATCTCCGCAATACCGCTTCCCGCCACTTGACCCATGCTTCCTCTCCCTCCTGCCTACCTTAAGTAACCAAGGTACTTTACAAAGTGGATTTGGCTGTTGCGTTAGGGGACATGTCATTTTTCTACAGCAACCGTGTTTATGCCAGGTATACAACCTGGGCTGTGGAGTAACCCAGGAAAAACATATAAACTTGTACCTGATAATTAATGGTTCCTATTAAAGGAGCAGGTCCAGAACAACGGCATAAATTACTGTCTGGTGCTTAGTATGGAATGGGGGAATGGATCCCTATGATAGTCCCTTAAGGTCCCTTATAGTAGCCCCTAAAACCCATTCCCCCATTCCCTACCAAGCACCAGACAGATTAGTATGGTACCCCAAAACCCAGCAGCAGTTATCCGACCCACAGGACACCCGAACCAGAGGAACTCGCGGCTACGGCTACTTCTGAGGCGCCTCAAGGGCCGACCTCATGATATGATGCCTCGATGGTTTGGGGTTTTTGGCTTTAGGGTCGGAGACAGTTCCAAAATGAATGGTTTAGGGCTGAGGATTTGAGATGTTGGGGTTTAGAATGTAGGGTGTGGCCAGGGCTTTGGGAGGTGCTACTGTGCTTGCGACCTAACTGGCTTGGAGGATTTGTGGGATTGAGGTTTAGGACGTAGGGTTTGGTCAGGGCTACCGGAGGTGCTTTTCTATGGCATTCTGGCTGAGATTGTGTCTTTGAGTGAGTTTACGGCCTGCCCCAAACGCTGGGAATCCTACCCGAAATCCTCAAGCTGCTGGTCGACCAAAGGTTGCTCTGCGAAGTTCACACTCAACCCGAAGTTCGAGCCTGAGGGCTTCTAGAATCGTTGCTATTGCTGTGATTTCTACGATCATGATGATATTGCTGACTTTGAACACAAAATTGCTATACTCCTTCTTCTTAGAACTGATTGTTACTTATAGAGCTTATCGGGTTCAGGGAATTAAGACGTTGATTCCAGCACCTTAAAGCTGAAACCCGATCCTGCAGACGGCTTTAGGGTTTAGGGGTTTGGGGGTTTAGGGTTTAGGGCTTTGGGTTTAGGCGTTTAGGGTTTAGGGCCTTCGCTTTAGTTTAATCTGGCCTCCCGACCCTCACCACCAACCGGCAACCCTGAAGTCTAAACTTTGAACGGTTTGGAGGGTCAGGGTTTGGGGTTTTGGGCTTAGGGTTTAGAGTTTGGGGTTTAGGGTTTCGGGTAAACATTGGGGGGTTAGGGTTTGGGGGTTAGGATTTGGAGTTTTGGGTTTGGTGCTTAGGGTTTGGGGTTTAGGGTTCGGGGCAGCAGCAACATCAACCTTTGCAGCCCTAACTGTAAGACTTGGGTTGCAGAGGCCTTCCACTCCCTGGAAGCCTGCTGGAGGCCCGTAGCTCAAAAAACGGAACAGTCAAACTAGCTTGAACATGTGAGCTGAAACACAAATGGTGGGCTATACTAGAAGTAGGGCAGCGGGTGCTAAGCAAGCTACCGCACTTACGGAGCATCCAAGAGAGCCGAGAGCTAAACACAATGTAGAGATGTAATAATCAGGAGTAGAATAGGGAATGGTGTCCATCATAAAATGCCGAGATTCCGAGGTCTACATTCGTCACCCCTCTGCAGGGCTGCTTCTTTATTTGCGGGAACGATACGAATTCCAAGGCTACCCTGGCTACAGTTCGTTCGTGGCTTTCCAATCATCGCCTGAGCTGTTGGTCTTAGCCCTGGATGCTACAAGCCCCCTAGGTCTCCATAAACTACGATATTGCCTACAATCCCCCTTCCCAATCTCCCCCCCTTCAACGAAAACACTGAACCCTCGCCCCAACAACACACCCTTCTACAACAACAACACTGAACACCACTCTTTTGAGGACGAAAGCCCTAGTAACCCTAAACCTTCCGAAAGACCCTCCCCTAAACCCTCAACCCTTAAATTAACCCTAAACCCTATACCTATACCTTTCTAAACCCTAAACGCTTATAAACCCCAAAACCCGGATCCCGAAACCCTACACCCTAAACCCCTAAACCCTAAACCCCTACACCCTAAACCCTAAACCCAAAACCCGGAACCCGAAACCCTACTTTACTCTTTTGGAGGACTCCGAGGTCCCGACCGGATCGCCAGGCCCAGCCACTCCAGGGAGTCCGACATCTCTATACTCAGGGCCGCCAAAGCACCTGCGCTAGTAGGGTTTAGGGTTTAGGGTTTGTAGGGTTTAGGGTTTAGGGTTTATAGGGTTTATAGGGTTTAGGGTTGAGGGCCGCCAAAGCACCTGCTCTAGTTTTAAGTACCCTGAAAGGGACTTTAATTGGGACCCGGGATACTACTGCTCTTCCTTTCGTGCTTTGGTTTAGGGGCTTTGGGCTTTAGGGTTTAGGGTTTTGTGGGTCTTGGTCAGATAAGGGGGGCGGATGGTGGGATTGACCGGCGTTTTGTGTTCAGAGGGCGGGCTTGGTTGGGTTTTGGGGTTTAGGTCTTGAGGTCTTAAACCCCTGTACCCTGTACCCTGTACCCTAAACCCTCCCAGCCCTAAACCTCTGTACCCTAAACAGTGCTTCCCAACTCTACCTTAAAAGCCCGGAAGTCGCAAAGCCGGGCTGCAAGCATCGACAGGCAAACGTGGACGAAGCACTCTCAAGTGAAGGGCACTTACACCGCGGAAGGGTCCGGCATTCGTGCCTTACTTTCAGGGTCGGGGGACTTAGTAAGTAGTTTTTACAGAGCTATAAGTACCCCAAAAGAGAGACCCTATTATGGTACTAGAACTCTCTAAGAAAATTACTTACTAGCTCCCCCGACGGCTCCAAGTAGAAGTTCTTGGACACGCGAGGGTTTAGATTTCCGGATTCAAGCAGATTGGTAGCTCGCCCGAAAAGCTTCGCGCCCGCAGGCTTGCAGTGCCTTGAAGGCCCTGCAGCAAAGCGCACCTTTGGCAGACGTGTAGGATTCTGGTGTTTGAATTTTCCGGATTAGGGTGTAGGTTCCAGGTCCAGGGTTTTAGGTCTTACCTAAACCCCCCAAAGTAAGTAGTAAAATAGTGGCCCGAGACCAATAAAAGGTTGTTATTCTACATACTCTTGGGGTCCGGCTAAGGGTTTAAGCTTTGGGGTTTACAGGTTTCGAGGGATCTGAGTGCAAGGCGGTCGGTTCGTGGGTTGAAGGCTTCCCGTCGGGTGCTACAGGACCAGGGCCTGACTGAATTAATATAGGGGCCTTAATAGTTTGACTATGGCGTTGGGGTATATTATAGTATAATTGCAACAAGGAGCCTCCAAAATAGTATAGGTAATAATTCAGGCCGCTATATTTTGCGACTTTGTGCCTGTGGTTCATGTGAAACGTCCGGTGCATCGTGCAGAGTGTTGAACCGGCAGTTTGCAACAAGCTGAGTAGCCGAGTAGCCTTCACATAATTTCGATTGGGCCCGATGATCCACGATTTAGGGTTTAGGGTTTAGGGTGGGTCCGATGTTAAGTTAAAATTGATGGGTTCCCATTAATGTCTGAGAGGTGTTCACAAGGATTCTAGCTACCTTTTCTTAGCTTAGGACCAGGCGGTTGATTCAGTATGTTCACGTTGGGGCATGAGTGCCACTTGCTTATTTTGCGGAGAAGGGTTCAGAATGGCAACCCTATTTGTAACATACTTGCTAGGGGCACCCCCTCGACAGCTGAACACCCTAAACCCTAAACCCTCAACCGAAACCAACGAATCCGAGGCGCAATGCCATCGACTTGGCAAATAGCCAGACCATGGCTTAAAGTTTTCGCAAAGACGTCGAATTTAGGGCTATTGGGGTTTCTGGGGTTCAGGGCTTAGGGTTGTAGGGGTTTAGAACTGATTTGGGGCTTCGGCTCTACTACACATGGGTCTGGTGACTCTGCAGGCTACCGCTAACCCTGACAGATGAGGGCTCAGGGTTCAAAGTGCCTCTCCCAACCAACAAAACACAGAAGTGCGAATCGTGCTGTTCAGTGCCAATCACCTTCTCTTTGTTGGTGCACGATTTCAGGCATGTCTTCATGCATGCATACGTAGGTATGTTGCTACACGCATGCCAGCATATAAACATATCACATGCACGCGCACACACACACACACACACATCCGTGTTTATATTTAGTGCCATTACCACGGACTGCTGTTGCTATCACTATGTTCGAAGTTATATTCATGCACTCCACTCGTTCGTTCCGATGTATAGGATGTATTTGCCTATGGTCGGCTTCCTTGTTCCCGATATCTCGGATCTTTGAGGAGTTGGGCTTAATTACCAACTGCGAGCCTCAACGGCATCCAGTGAGAACTGCAACCCTCTCTCGAGAAGACAACGCCCGAAACCCACAACCCCAAGGCTGGGCCCTTGTGCAAGACCGACCGCTTGCGGAAAGTCCACGAACAAGTGAGAGAGCTAGCCTTCAAGGTGCTCATTCCTAAACCCTAAACCCTAAACCCTAAACCCTAAACCCTAAACCCTAAACCTCATGTCTCAAGGTCGTGAAACACATGCACGGTATCTCGCCGATTAGCGATCTTCTGATGCCTCAAGCGTCTGCCGCATTTCGATGTAAGGCGCCCGTTTGCCTTTGATAGCTTCTTGAAGCAAAGGCTCAGCTTCCGCATGGCGCCCCTGTTGCTCAAGCAAGCTTGCCAGCTGTCCTAGGGTATTGAGAGTTGACATGTTCTCGTTGCCCAGGGTGCGCCGCTTGAGCTCCAAGTCCTCTTTGAGGAGATGCTCTGCTTCGGACACCCTGGCTTCTGCCAGCAAAATGGCCAGCAAGGTGCTTTCGAGCCAATCAAGGCCGTCTCGCGTCTCAGCATGCTTTCCCTTCTCCAGGTCTGCTCTGTTTGTCTTCAGAAGCTCCCACATCAGAGCTTCCACCTCCTTGAGCCGCCCTTGGCATTGCAGCAGCTTCTGCAAGGTCGTAATGGACTGGCGGAGCTCGGGGTTTAGGGTGTCTCCGAGTCGCTGCCTCTTCTCTTTCAGATCCTGCCATGCAGAGGCCTCGGCCTGCTGCACTTCTTCAAGAAGTGCCTGGGCCTCTGGGATCCTTCCCAGATGCTGCGAGAGAGGTGCCAGAAGGTTGATCACTTCGAGGCTCTCAGGATGAAGAAATTTCCGAGCTCCCTGCGGTTGGTTTCCAAGGCCTCCTGCAGGAGCTGGTCGGCCTCTGCAAACCGGAGCTGCTGAAGAAGGGATCCTGCTAAGCCCCGCTTCATGGTGCTGATCTTCTCCCAATTCGGCGGGCTCACTTGCTGCAAAGCCTCCAGCCTCTCACGGCAAAGGGCCTCAACTTCGTTCCATCGCCCGAGGTAGGCGAGGCAGTTTGCAAAAGCACTCCTGGTCTGCTCGGTGATACTATGGGAAGATCCCAGCTTAGCTTCTTTGGTCTTCAGACTCGACTGTAGCAGCGGCAAAGCTTCATGGAAACGGCCCTGATGCAGCAAGTGCGGTGCCATGACGTCGATGAGATCGACCGCTTCCGAAATTTCCTCATCTGGCCGGTCTGGACATCCGTCCGAAGCGCTCAAGGAACCAGTCACTGCTTCCAGCCCAAGCTTCATCGCCTCCTTGCAGGGATTTGTGGGAACCCGGTGGAACAGTGTACGACCCGCTGACCCGAGACCACATGTCGTGGACCAAAGGTTACACCTCAAAATTGCTTCAGCCAACTTGCAAAAACACAAACCGAAAAACTCTGACAATGTGGATTCAGCCTAACAGCCGCCTCACAGACACGCAACCCAATCTACGATCCTTTCCTATCTTTGTGCCGGAGCGTCTGTATTTCCTACAACACCCATGCTTGGCGCTTCTCTGCTTCAGTTGCAGGGCTGTGGTGTAAAAGGCCTCGGTGAAGTTGCTGGTCCTACTTATACTTAGATGCCCACAAGACTTAGTAACTAGGTTCTAAGTAGCTATAGGGTTGTAATTGTGTTAATATAGCTGTACTCATAACCTCTTACTCAGTCCCCTGGACCTCTAGGCATGACCTATTCGAAAGAACAACCAAGAACGCGCACAACACACAACGACATGTACGCATACTATCCATCCACACTCACTTGTCGACTCATCACGACGTTTACACATCAACTTATGCACGTCAGATATTTTTGCATACAGCGCTCTCTGCGCATCTAAGATCGGAGCGAGAAACTTGTTGAGCCAACACAACAAGGTTTGCGGTTTAGGGTTTAGGGTTTAGGGTTTGGGGTTTAGCGTTGAGGGTGTCACAAGCCAAGCCAACACAGCTCAACATCTCGGAAACACATCGAAGCAGACCGAGTACAAGCCGTGTCAGACTCTGAACCCTACAATCTTAACCAATAAACGTTGGGTACTGCTTCCATACAGTAAAAGTCTATAATGGAGCTACTTTGACGGGCCTAGTATATCTATAATATAAATGTTTTTGAACTGGTACTGAGTGGGGGCAGTATCCACAAGAAACTCTAAACTCCAAACTCCTGAATCCAAAACCCCCACACCCCCCTAAACCCGAAACCCTAAACCCTAAACCCCAAACCCTGAACTAGACCCCCTTGCCAGACCCTGAAGGGCCTCGCTCTGCCGGCCGTGCTTGAAGAGAAGAAGCGCTAACAAAGCCTTTGTTTGCAGACTTTTCGGGTGCATCTCTCCGAAGGCCTTGCATTGAGGCTGTCGGTCGAAGCTTTCGGGTCTAGGGGACGGGGCTTATGGGGTTCATAGGGTTTTGGCTGTGGATTTGCGAAATCTTCAGGTTTGGCTTAGGTTTGGGTTTCAATGGCCCAGGATATACAGGGCACACAGTTCAGAGGCTTCCAGACCCCTTCACTGATATTAGAGTCTACAGTCGACTAAAGAGCTTTGATAATTGGAATGCGGCTGTTACAGTACATACACCTATATTTAGGAATCCTAAGCAAGGATTCGGATGATAACTTCGCCAGGCGAAGACCAGGCGCCCAGAGGCTCTGAGGGGAAGGGGGGACAGCACGCTACCAAAATACGGGCTTCTTAAAGTCTTAAAGCAGGGATTCCTTTTCTCCGGGTTCTTCTATGCATATTGGGTTGATATACATGTCCCTTAATTTCCGAAACTCCCAAGTATTCGTGCTAGTTTTTTTGAAGGGGTCGTGAGCCGCAAATTTCGCCAAGAGCCGGCCTCCTCGCAGAGATGAATGTAGCTGTGGTAAAGCTGCTCAGCCTCTCGCTAGGTTTGACGGTAGGGTTTAGTTCAGTTAGGGATAAGTATACAGAGATTAGGCTTTATAGTGTTGAAGGTAATACCAGAGCTCGTTCAAGAATCGCATCTAATCTTCTAGCCTTCGGGTCCTATTCTCAGTGTGTAGACGACCCTCCTTCACCCCGCCTCGCGAGTACGGCCCACCATCTCGAAAATCTCTGCCAACTGGCGCAGTCGATCCATCGTCTGCGGATGACTAGCTCCCAGCATCTCCAAGCTACCTTCATAGCTGCGCTTTCCGAGTTCGATGGATTCCTCGCCCTTGTCTTGAAGAGCATTGAGTCGAGAGATGATCGCCATCGTCTCCAGCAGAATAGGATGCATACCGAGCTTCTGCTCGGCAGAATCCAGTTGATCTCGAAGCATCGGCCTCAAAATAAGCCTCAGCTGACTCCAGCAAGACTTTGCCCAAAGAGTTGGTTAGCTCCAAGGTCTGTGGATGCATGGCTCCGAGCTTCCGCCGGCTCTCCAGCAGCTCTCCTCGGTACTTCTCCCTGAGCTGCTCGGGTTTCCCGGAGTTGGCGAGGCGGCCCATTTTCAGCTGGGCACGGCCCTGGCAGCAATACTCCGGAGATAAGAAGGGCTCTACATCCTGCAAAAACTGTTCCGCGTCTTCGAAGCGGTCCAGATCTACGAAGCACTGGACCAGCTCGTTAGCAAGTGCCGGCATTGATTTGCTGGCTTCTTCTGGACTTAGTTGGCTCTTCACCGCAGCAACAGAATCTCGAAGTAGATGTTCCGCTGTTAGGAGCTGTCCATGTTCGCGACATGTGTGAGCGAGCGCAAGAACACTTTGCACAGTGGTAGGGTGAACATCTCCAAGCTCCTTCTTGCATTCGTTGTAGCAGTCTTTCAAAAGCCCTTCTGCTTCATTGAACCTGCCCCGACTCAACAATCGAAACCCGAGCTCCATAGCACAATCAAAGGCTTGAGTATCCGACAGCTTTCGCGTGGTTCGAAGCTTCGACAGGCGAATGGTGAGGAGATCAATCAGGCCCCGGTTTGCAGCGGTTGCATGCTTGACTTGACCATTCTCATCCATCAGTCGCACAACCCACACATCTCGACTTGAGTGCACTTCACGTCCTTTGTAGTCCTCTCCCAACTTAACCGCCCGCTCCCGTCCATCCTCGCCCTGAACACGCCTCTGCTTCATGTCGGGTGTCAACCTTTGGAAGATGTTGTACGCCAACTCCCTTGGCACTCGCAAGGGCACGCAGAATGCGGCCCTATGTCCGAGGGCGCTACCATCGCCCCATTCCTGGTTCCTGAGCTTGCACTCATCGTCCTCAAGGTCCACCCTCCAAGGATCGCCGTTGCTGTAGTTGTTCAAGAGTATGCGAAGTCTGTGCTGCCACACTGATGGCTCATGCTGTGTGGCATAGAGCCCCTTTCCAAAATGTGCACGCGAGTCCACTAGAGAAGCAAAAAGCTCCGATGTCGTTTGTTGCACATTTGACACTTTGGTACAGCATGGTGCACGCTTGGAACACACAGCTCACCTGCTGACTGAGTGAAACCTCGTCTATCACAAAAGTGCACACGAAAAAAACAGGACTTCTGAAACTACAGGTCCGAGGACGTTCATGAAGCCCAGTAGGTTCGTGTAGTGATACAACACGATGACATCCTCTTCCTCAGGGGAACCACACAGATCGAGGGCATGGCGCCAAACATGCACCGGCCCGTCGGGAGCATCGTACCTATATGTTGGTTGGCTTCCTTCGATCATATCCTCCTTGTAGGACAACCCATCGTACAAGCCACCATCAACGTAGGTCTTCCCAAAGAAGCTAGACAAGTCGGCAGTTCCGAGAGCGATGCTCTGGCCCTGTGCTTTCTCCACGGCTTCTTGCAGCTTGGACTGCTCTTCCGACGGAAGTCCAAGGACAAACTCCCTGAGACCCTCCGCAGATGAAGATGCAAGCCCATGGCGGATGGCAGCTGAGCTTCCGCTTCCCATGGCCCCGGGTGCTTTTGCGCCCGACGGCGCTGTCAGGTTTTGACGAGTGAAACTGCACTCACATGATTGGACTCTACTTATTTGTTATATGAAACAATAAGACTGTAAACCCCAAACCCTAAACCACAAAACCCCCACCTATCTCCTTTGACTTCAGACGCTCGGCAACTTTCCGCAAACTGGCAGAGGAAAAGGGGGGGGCGAAGTCCAGACTCTACGATTCAATGAGGTCACTTACATGCCGGAAGTCTGAAACACCTTCAAAACCTTAAACCCTATGAATCCTACATGCCCTAAACTCGGATCAACCCTAAAGCCAAAATAAACCTGGACCCGGGCCTCGAACCGCTGCTCTCTCTAAAGCCATGACGCCCTGCACTGCACCGGAAATCCCCGTCCGGATTGGCTAGCCCAAACCCTAAACCACGAACCCCGAAGCCCAAAACCCTACAACCCTAAAGCCTTGTCCGGATACGCTGTCAATTCCTACAAGAATGACCCAATGACCCTAAACCTGAACCGCTAAACCCTAAAACCCTGAAC